TGAGGGGGGTGGGTCTCCTCTACTGCGGTCGGGGGCAGCGCGGGGAGGAAAGAGCGCCGGAGATCGCCGGGCGGGTCTGCGGGCCGGGTACAGCCCCGCAGCTCCTCGCCCCTCGAATCCTCCGGGCTGTTGGACTCCGGGTCCAGGCTCAGGATTGCGCTTCAGGGCAGGGGTCGGACCGCAGCCAGATTTAAACGGCTAAACCTAACAGCCTTGGCAGTAGCTCCGGGGAGGGGAGGGAAGGGGTGGAGGGAGAGGCTGGGGGCGGACCTCGGCGCAGTCACGTGGAGGAGGGGCGGGGCTTGGCGGGCCTTCCTTTTGTTTTGGCGGGCGCGTGCGCAGAAGGCAGAACACGTGGTCTTCTGGGCCCGCCCCTTGCTCCGGCTGCGGCTCCTCGGCGGGGGCGGCTGCGCCCGGCGTAGTTTTGGGGGAGCCGCTGGGGCAGGACCTGCTGGGCTAGATGTGACCCTTGTTTTAGTCATTTCCTACTTTATTTCAGGCAGACGTGGACTTGGCCTCTCGAGTGAGCGGGGGTGGAGGTGGGGAGCCTAGAGACTTGCGGAGGGATGGTGTTTGTGTCGCTTGTCGGTGTGCTGAAGGGAGCGGCGTTGCTGGAAAATTTGAGGCTATGTGCTCTTTGGGAGCAAGAAATGCAAGACTGTGTTCGGGCCATTACAGAAACCACCGGAAAGGATGACGATAGTCCTGCGTCCGAGAGGGAAGGCACGGGGTGGACGTTTGTGTAGTTTTCTGGCTCCGAGAAAATGAGCGTCGGGGTCGTTCCCGCTGCCTGGGGACGGCCCCCTCCCCCTCCGGTCGGCGGCGCGCGGGGCTTTTTGTTGTTTAACTGTGGGAAGCACATTCCTTTTGATTGCCCCAGACTGGAGTCAGCTGGCGCGAGTTAAGAGGATAGCTTGTTTTCGTCCGTCTTTCCCTACCCGGTTTGCTTCACTTCGTGCCGAGTTTTGCTCAGTAGGAATGTTTTCAAAATGCCCGAAGAGGCAGGCTTGTTAACAAAAACCTGAGTGAGGTTTTTACCGGCACTACAAACAAAACCGGCAGCTTTTTGACTAGGAAAAAGTGGCTGTGACGCTAACGTCGAGGGAAGCTGGTGCCCCGGACTGTGGGTGCTTCGCAGCGAGTGGTCCCCGCTTTTCCCAGGTCTCACTACCTCTTTCCTGGGGCAAGGCGCAGCCTCTCCTCCTGGCTCTTTTCTCTTGTAAATAGTTTCATGGTAGTGTCCCTGCCTTAGGAGACTTGTGAAAGCAAGTGCCCTGTGTTAGTGAAAGTGATTTATAGTCTTTACCCACACCGGAATAGAGAAACTGCGGCGTAATACGGTTTTATACCAAAAGTCAGATATTTTGTTTCCTTAAAGCCAGCATACCGGAAAAATGTAAACAATGAGTCATGAAATAGGATATATTTGAATATCTTCAAAATCTGTTGTAACTATTATCTTTGATTCGCCCTTGGTTTCCACCTCCTTTTCAGATGAGTGTCAAGGGTGCCATCATTTCCTCATAGTTTTAACCTAGGCAGTCATTACTTCTCTTTCCCAGCCCTGGTGGAGCTTTTTTTTTTTTTTAAACATGAAACTTCTTAATCCAGACCAATTCTATCACATTGAGGTTTTGTGTTTTTTTTTTTTCTTTTGGTGTGGTGCCTTTTCACATAACAGTTACTTATTTTGTTAAATTTACAAAATAATTTGGAAAATCAAGACGAGTGCAAATAAAAATACAAATAATTTGTATTTCTCTCTAAATATTTTCCTATGCATTTTTGTGTAATTTTTCTAGAAAAGAGAGCATGCAGCATTTTCATCTCACTTTACCTCATAAGCATTCCCATGCCATTAGTCTTTGCAAAAATTATTTTTGGCTGCTTAAGATTATTTATTACATCATATAACTATCATATTTAATTTTTTTTATTGGCAGATGTTTGGGACGTTCTCATGTTTTGCTAGTGTAAATTTCACTAACAAAATAGTCTTTCACATAAATCTTTAAAAAAAAATTCCTTTAAGTTTGTAAAGGAAGAACTACTGGGTCAAAGAGTCTCTCTGTATGTATGTGTGTTTCAGCTCTTGTAACAACACCAAGTGACCTTCCAGAATGTTGTATTGATTCATACTCACGTAGAGCTTGAGCAGGCCTTACATTATAGCTCTGTTCATAATCTGGTATTAGCATTAAAATGAAAACCTTGCTTTAATTTGCATAAAATTTTTTATCACATGTCCGTGATGTATCTCTTTTCCTTATTGTAAGCTGCTTCAGGGAGAGGAATGTATTTCATATTTGATGTGCTGCAAATCACAAAGTGGGTGCTTGATAAATATTGGCTGTTGATATTTACCTTTTTGACTTCTTGAAGCTCAGGAAGTTCTCCTTTTTTTTGTCTTACTCAATTTACCAGTAAATTGTTGGCAATATACTAGGTATTGTTTCATTGATCCATTAGAGTACTCATTCCTGTGGAGGAGGGCACTGATCTTATCACAGTTTTCTACTAAAAGGTCCAGTGACTCCATTGTCCAACTGTGGCATTATCTAAGAGCTCCATCCACCTTTGATACTATTTATCTTGATAACTTAGACTATTTCATTCCCTTTATTCATTCATCTAGCTTGTATGGAATTCACTTACAGATTTCACTTTGATCGTTCTTTCACTTGTAGCCTTTTCTGTGGTTTTTTTTTTTTTAAAGCCCACTGTCTAAAGCTCCTCTGTTTCATTCATTATTCAGATTGTTTTTGATAACCCACCAGTTACTGCCTGTAACATCTTTTACTGCCTTTAGTCTACCATGCAAAACTTACGTCATAATTTTCATTTACTCAGTTATCTCCATTTTCTTTTACATTTGTCTATACAGTACTAGATGGTAGTTGAAGGAGAAGACTTTCTTTCAGGTTTAGAATTGTGTTTGGAATTGTTAATTGATTAGGTTTGTCAAGTTATAAACACAAAGAGTGGGGCTGCTTACAGCAGAAGTGATAGCTAATAGATAATTAGCAACGAATTTACTGACTTGAAAGTATATCATCTCTTATACTTCTATTCTTAAAATCCTTACTGTATTACAGGACTATAATGGATGACCCTCATCATCAGTGCAGTCTTACATTACTTTCAGTATGTTTCATTTAGAAAGGCAAGGGAGGTAGCTGTGTCATTTCCAAAAGCTTTGTGTGTGTTTCCTTTTAAATGTCGTGAAGAGAGATTTCACTGAACTGTACTTCCCTGATCATGTGGTATAAATAAACTAGCAGCAAATGTTAATAAAAATGGTAATATTGTACTTGCCTGTAGACAGCTTATAATGAAAATCTGAAGACAGTTCATAATGGGAGTTTTTAATACTTGATAATATTTTTAGGCTTTTAGAAACATTGGATGTGAAAATTCTCTTAGTATTGCAGAATTAGGAGGAAATGCATTCAGTTATAATATTGAGGCTTTGTTAATATTTTTAATGAATTTCTTATTTAATGTATGTTTCCAGTACTATAAGACCAAGGACTGAAGCACGTTTTTAAAGTAATTAAAATTTTTTTTATTTGGTAATAGATCATTAATCAGTGTTTAACCACATGAAGTTAAATTGGAGTCAAAAATCTATAGACTGAGCAAATGTGATAGTGTTCTTTTCAATGTAAATTTCTGGATCCAAGTTGATGTACACAGAAAAAAACAGCTCTTCCTTTATATTTCTATGAACCATGCACTTATAATAATAGTAATAATTCTGCCTGAAGTGTTATCTGTTTGATGTGTTATGTGACCACCCAAATGGCTTTATCTTTAATTAAATTCTTTTAGTCTTCAAAGAAAGTTCCTTTTTAGGCATAGTTTTCAAAGTGGAAGTTTTTGCTATAAACTTTGTTGAGTACAAAGTGCTGAGGTAACTGTACCCTGGTCATGCCAATTACTACATTGTAATGCTCATGTGTGGCATAAGTCTTGAAAACACAACACTGTATTTTGAATTCACACCTTCCATTAATTCCTAGGTTTTAGAGGATTAAAATTATACCAGTGTACATTCTTTCTCATTAATTTTATTGTTTTAATTGGATTTTTCCTTTATGAATTACAAATTAGAAATTGAGTTCCTGTATGTTTCAGTAATGTTTCAAAGAGCTGCTCATATTTTGCTAAAATAATTTCTCTCTTTTTCTCTACTCTTTCTCTGTTATAATAATGGATCAGCTGTCTGAAACACATTTAAGTTTTAAGTGGAAATTATTTAATATTTGTTCCTACTTCAGGGTTCTCCTGTCTCTCAAAATGCCCCTGGTAGTCTTTTCACTTTCTTTTAACTTATGGATGGATCTGCCTTCTTTGTTATACTTTATTCCTAGTTTGTGTTACTGCTCTGCATTTAAGAGAATTCTGATTATCCGGATTCCAGTTGAAAGAGTAAATTTAATGTTCAGGGATATGTATGGATAGGATATTTACCGTAGACTTATGTAATATACATTCACATGCTAGAATATAAATCATAGTCATATCTGAAGCAGTATTTTAGGGGAGGGAAATCAGATTTGGTCTTTAATTTTTAATGTTCCTTCTCAGGAGAAAGGATGGTTCTTAATCTAGATTGTCTAGATTACCAGTTTCAACTCTGTAGATTATATTGGCAAACTTGATTTTCTTTAGAAAGTATGTCAAAAAGCATTTGGTGTATGTGACCTATATATTAATTTGTATAGACCTGATTACTAAGTGTCAGGATCAACTAATTACTGACATCATAATTATCTCACTATGTACATACATCTTTTGAAGGATGACGTATTTACTATATCTAATGTCCAAGGACATTGCATTTAATGTTAAATTCATAAATATGTATGATTTATAAATCTTAAAAATAAAGATGGTCACTAATGGAAACATTTTGGAGACAACAGGGGAAGGCTTTTTATTTGTAACAATAATACTATCAGAACAACTGTTTTCTTCCTTAACTTACAATAAGTGTTTTGGGTATAGGCCCATAGTCAGAGTGAAGAATAGTTTAGTGCTAGTTGAATTCCTTATGAGCTAGGAAGGAACAGAAATAGTGTTAGGAGTTGGGGGGAAAAAGGAGTTTGGTTCTGTTCACATTTTAATCAGAAACATTAAAAATGTTGCCCTTGGAGAATGTATAAACATAAAAGTATTTTCTAGATATCTGATTTTTTTTTTTTACATTATTTTAGGTTTCCAGTAATTATCTGCAGGTTTCGCCATGACCCCAGCTCTGAGGGAGGCAGCAACAAAGGGTATCTGCTTTTCATCTTTACCAAGTACCATGGAGTCTGATAAGATGCTATGCGTGGAAGGCCCAAGAACTATGGATGAAAAGCTAAAGGGAGATACTTTCTCTCAGATGCTGGGATTTCCAACTCCTGAACCTACTCTTAACACTAATTTTGTGAATTTAAAACATTTTGGCTCCCCTCAGTCTTCAAAACATTATCAGACAGTTCTTTTAATGGGCTCTAATTCTACATTAAATAAATACAATAAGAATTATAAGCAAAAGAAATTAGGGGAACCCAACTGCAATAAGCTGAAAAACATACTGTGTAATGGCAGCAACATTCAGCTCAGTAAAATCTGTCATTCTCATTCTGAAGAGTTCATCAAAAAGGAACCTCTGTCAGATAACACAGGCCAGTGCATGACAGATGTAAAAATTATTTTGGATTCAAATATAACCAAAGACACTAATGTAGATAAAGTACAACTACAAAACTGTAAATGGTACCAAAAGAATGCACTTTTGGATAAAGTTACTGATGCTGACATTAAAAAGAGTTTATTGCACTGTGCTCAAAAGAATAGTGGGCCTGGCCATTCAAATATGCCTGTTAGTTTCTCAGCTGCTGAAAAAGAGGAGGAAGTGAATGCTCGTTTACTTAATTGTATAAGCAAACAGAAAATTTTACTTAACCAGGCTAGAAGAACTCAGAAACATTTGCAGATGCTCCTGGCAAAGCATGTTGTTAAGCACTATGGTCAGCAGATGAAATTTTCTATGAAGCATCAACTCCCTGAAATGAAGATCTTTCATGAACCTACCACAGTTTTGGATAACAGTTTACCTAAATGCACTGAAATTAAACCAGACATCAACTTATTGACTGCAGAGAATAAATTATGGAATGATACAAAAAATGGCTTTGCACGGTGTACAGCTGCAGAAATCCAAAGATTTGCACTGTCTGCTACAGGGCTGTTGTCTCATGTTGAAGAGGGTCTGGATTCTGATGCAACAGAGAGCAGCTCTGATGACGATTTGGATGAATATACCATTAGAAAAAGTGTGGCAGTGTAAGTGCAAAATTATTATTAGACCTTTTACTGTTCTCTATATAGCAATTTTGTCTTGATTTCAAGATATATTAAAAGGAAATAGATTTTCTAAAATCTTAATGCCGTAATCTTTAAGTTATAGAACTGATGAAATTTAAAAGTATTTCGTTATTTAAACTACTGTGTTTGAATATATACATACTACTTAAAAATAAGTTATTCAACTACTCTATCTAGGAAAAACCAGTACAGGGATAATAAAAGCTAACTGGCTACAAGTAAGCATTTTTCCTATTCTTGGATAGGCTATGGACAAGGCCTGAAATTTTGCTTAAGTGATCTAGCCAGTATGTGTAGCTAAAACTCATTACGACGTTTGTACATAGGGAGCTCTCATTGATGAGAGTACATATAAGTTGACCTGCTACAATTATTTTTAACTGTATATTTGTATTCACAGCTTTCAGCTCTGGCCTTGACCAACTTAGTAAATTTTTGCTAGATCAATGTAGCCAAAAGAAAGCTATTATGTCACCTATTAGGTACCTGTTGAATGCTTATTATGTGCTGCACCCCAGTGATTCTAAATATTCACAGCCTCTATCCTCCCAGAGTCTACTTCAAAGAGAGGTTTCTAGATAATAAAAACAAACCAAAAAAACAGAGCAAAATACTTTTACTTATCATGTTAACATTCCAGAACAGCTCTATCTCATAGAAGCTTCTGAGATGATGGAATGTTCTATGTCTGTGTTATCCCATAGGCACTAGCCTTGTGTAGCTATTGAGCACTTGAAATGCGACCAGTACAACTGAGGAACTGAAATTTTAATTTTATTTAATTTGAATTAATTTTATTTAAATAGCCAGATAGAACATAGTTTTTAATCTAGCTTCCAGGGAATCCGTTAATGTCTCTAAACTGATGCAAAATACTGTGTGTATATGTGGTATTTTGGGAGGAAGAAATTTAACATTTTTATCAAATTCTCTTAAGATGAATGAGAATCATTATAGAATTAGAAACTAAACACATTAATTTTTACTAATAAAAAGGACAGTATATTAATTTTTATAGTAAGGAATAAAATGTAAAGCAAAGTCTTTTGGTGCTCTGTTATCACTATATTTGAAATTTGTTTGACTGTGGGAGCTAATAGTTTGAGCTCATGTTTTCATGTTGTTACGTTTATTTTAAAATCGAAAACTTTTATCCTGATAAGTTGTTGGGTTTTTTAAAAATTTTCTTCTTTATATTTTTGGAAACTCATTTTTCAAATGTGGACAAATATTTTTAATGAATAAAGTTTAAAATTAAACCTTAAACATAAAACAGGTAAAAAGATGCATTTTGTGTATCTAAATTCATAAGTGGTTGTGAACACAGTTAAATTTTTATTATCTCTATTAAATATAAATAGACTTCTCAACTAAAATCATAAGGTCTGCAGTGGCAAATATTGGTTGACTTCGACTTAATTTTAAGCAACTTAAGGGCGAGTACTTCTTTTATTTTATATCCACTGCCTAGCATTGTCTAGTTTTTACTGCTTGTCTGGTATTTGTTGAGCCAATGAATGAACTTTTCTGTATTTGTATATGTAGTTGTAAAGGTACAAAAATTGGGGTCAGCAATCTGTGGAATTTTGCTCTATTTATTTTCTCTTCCATTCTTGATTTCCCTACCCTTTTTTCCTTTGTCTCTAGTACCAAAAACGGCCACAAGATATATCTTGTATATCTTAAAACCAGCATGAATGTGTGTTCAATGAATGAATGAATGAACTATGCAAAAATATAGACATTAAAGTAGTTTATTATAATATTTAACATTTGTAACTTTTAAAAATTGAGAAGTAAAATGTATTATATTTATCTTCAAAATCTCAGATTATAAGTTCCTTTTTATTTTCTTTGTCTTTTTTTTTTTTTTAAGTTTATAGCCTTGATAAGAAAAACATTCCTCTGACTATGAAATTTAGCTGTGAAAGAATATAGTTGTTTTAGGAAATTGAAAAGCAGTCACACTCACACTCGCCATTACCATTTTTATTTTAAATATATAAATATATGTTTGACTTTCCCCTTTTCCTCTTCCTCTAAAAATGTAGGCAGTAGATTAATTCATAATGACATTAGTGTGTACTTTAAAAATAACTTTTGGTTGAGACTAGTATGCATTAAAAAATATTTTAAAAGTTAATTTCCTTTGGAAATAAAAATAGGATTTTAATACGAATGTACCCCTTCTCCCTGCTGCAGTGTTCCGTTCCTTTGGTGAAGAAGCAGAGTTTTTGGATACACTTGTATTACAGTTGGTTTGCTCTTTGATCCTGAGCAAAGGTTAAGGTTATTCTTAACCCTCTGAATCAGATTCTTCTTTGGTCTAACTTAAAGAGTTCTGTAGATAATTAGATGAAATGTTAAATATAAAGTACCTGCACATAATAATAAGGCACAGATTTGGCAGCCAATAAGGAGTGTCTTATCACACAGTTTGCTATTGTGGAACACTGGAGTTTAATATTCCACAGGAACCGTGGGGAGCCAGTGTAAAATACATGCCTGAGTTCACCCGTTTGAGAAGTGAGGAAGCTGGAGTATTTGTGCATCAAATCCCATCAGTTACTGAGTGAAGGCTGTTCCTGGTTGTGTTAAATTCCTTGCACTTCTGTTCTGCCACTTGGGTGACAAAGCAGGCCCAAGCAACAACAACAACAACAAACCTTAGTCAAATGCAGGTGCTGGCGGTTGGAGAAAAGGCAGGTCTGTGTGAGCTGAACTGGTAAGTGTTAGGGGGTGTGGGCTGGTCACTAACAGACTCTGGTACAATTATGTTACCTCATATCTAGTAAGACCTTTGAGTTCTAGCATTTCATTTCTTCTCAGAATTGAAATCAGTTTCTTTCAGGATGAATGTGGGAAAACTCACAGATTTTTGACATAGAAAAACATGTTCCTTTGTCTTATTCAAGGAAACTTTGCCAATATCTTCCAAGTCAAACAACAGTCTTAGATGTTTGGAGAAAACCCCAATCATTTCCCCATATGTTCAAATTTTCATCAGATTTTTACTTTGGTATATAAATGGGATTAGGCTTTCACCAAGACAGGAGTGTTGTGATGTGTTTAGTTACAAGCTCTCAGGCAGATCTTCCAGATTGAAAGGCAGAAAAGAAGTAAGTAAGCAGCTTGTTGCAGACTCACGGAAATGAGGCGTCAGGGTTTCCTTCACACCTCCGTTGTGCCAGTAGAAAGGAAAGGAAGTGAAGAGCCAGATGATGAGCTTCCCTTTGAGGAACTGGATAGATAGGAGTATGACCTCAGTGTGACATCCAGCGGATAAAGAAACTAGTAATATTTCATTAATAAATTGCAGATAAGAGTACCTTTATATTTCTTTAATGTGAAGTTGACAAACTTTTTACATTCATTATCTTTTCAATTCTCTACACTTTGGAAATAGATGGGAGATGTCTGATTTATTTTATGGTTAAACCTTGGTTCTTGAACGTCCCCCATCTTGAACAATTCAGTTCTCAACCAAGTTCATGGAAAAATATCTCAGTAGTCGAACAAAATTTTGGTTCTCGCCCTTGGCTGGTGTGGCTCAGTTGGTTGGGCGTCATCTCATGCACCAAAGGGTTGCTGGTGTGATTCCTGGTCAGGGAACATGCCCAGGTTGCAGGCTTGATTCCTGGTGGGCGATGTGCAGGAGGCAGCCAATCAGTGTTTCCCTCTTGCATTGACGTTTTTCTCTCCCCTATTCCCTCTCTCTAAAAATCAATAAAAACATAAGACTAAATAAAAATTTGGTTCTCGATCCTACAACCCATTCATGCCGATACCTGTATAATCAGTCACGTGTCTCTCAGGCAACAGAGGAGAGAATGTGTGAGTATGAGTTAGTTTACCCCTAAACCTTATGTTAATATCTGAGGAAATGGTGCTGTGAATACTTTGGTGTTTTCTATGGCAGCAGAATGGAAAGGAAAGTTGTAAGAATAACGATAGAGCTTAAAAAAAGAAATAATTGCAAAGTTTATAGATTAAACAGTACATTAGACATGTATATAAGAAAGGTTAAAACAGAATCATTCAGGGGTCTGGAATGGATTAATTCAATTTATATTATTTCTAATGGGAAAACATGATTTGGTTTTAGAACGAATCACTTCTCAAACAGCCAGAATGATTTAAGTTTGAGAACCAAGGTTCCATTTTACTTGTATGTGGAACAAAGAAAAAGTTGATGTAATAGATTACATAATTTCTGAATGTTGAACCAGCCTTACATACCTGGGATAAATCTCACTTGGTCATAGCATATAAGTCCTTTTATACATTGTTGAATTTGATTTGCTAATATTTTGTTGACGATTTTTTGCATTTGTACTTATGAGACATATTGATCTATAGTTTTCTTTAGTAATGCCTTTGGTTTTTGTATAAGGGTAATGCTGGCCTCAGAATGAGTTAGGAAGCAGTCCCTCTGCTTCTATCTTCTGAAAGAGATTGTAGAGACTTGGTCAAATTTCTTCTTTAAATTTTTGGTAGAATTTGCCAGTGAACCCGTTTGGGCCTTGTGTATTCTGTTTTGGAATATTATTAATTATTTATTCAATTTCTTCAATAGAGATAAACCTATTCAGATTGTCTGTTTCTTCTTGTGTGAGTTTTGGCAAATTGTGCTTTCAAGGAATTGGCCCATTTGTCTAGGTTATTAAATTTGTGGATTTAAAGTTGTTTATATTCCTTTATTATTCTTTTAGTGTCCATTGCTCTGTGGGAATTTCTCCTCTTTCATTCCTGATATTAGTTATTTTTGTCATCTCTCTTTTTTTGAGTTAGCCTGGCTAGAAGCTTATTGATCAAAGAACCACTTTTTTGGTTTCATTGATTTTCTCAATTGCTTTCGTGGTGTCAGTTTCATTGATTTCTACTCTAATTTTTATTATTTCTTCTACTTAGTTTGGATTTAGTTTGCTATTTTTCTAGTTTCCTAAGGTAGAATCTCAGATAATTGATTTTTAGATCTTTTTTATTTCTAATATTTGCATTCTAATGCTATAAATTTTGTGCTTTTCCCCATAAGCATTATCTTCACTACATCCCACATATTTTGATGACTTGTATTTGCATTTTAATTTAAATTAATAATATTTTAAAATTTCTCTTAAGATTTCTTTTTTGCCCCATGTATTACTTAGAAGTGTATTGTTTAATCTCCAAGTATTTTGGGATTTTCCAGTTTGATTCTGTTATTGATTTCTAATTTAATTCCATTGTAGTCTGAGAGCAGACATTATATGATTTCTTTTTGAAAAACCATATTTAAAGTGTGTTTTATGGACCAGAACATGGTCTTTTTTTGATGACTCTTTTATGTTATCTTGAGAAGAATGCATAATCTGCTGTTGTTGGATGTACTAGGCTCTAGAAGTCAGTTATTTTCAGTTGATTGATGGTGATACTGTGTTCACCTGTACCGACTTTCTGCCTGCTGGATCTGTGCATTTCTGATAGAGGGAGTGTTAAAGTCTTTAACTACAATATTAGATTATTTTTCCTTGAAGTTCTATCAGTTTTTGCCTCACATAGTTTGATGTTCTTTTGTTAGGCTCATACACATTAAGGATTATCTTCTTGGACTGTTGACGTTTTTATTATTATATGTCCCCCTTTATACATCTTAACTTTCCTTGCCCTAAAGTCTGCTCTGATTGAAATTAATGTAGCTACTCACTTTCTTTTGATTAGTGTTAGCCTGGCTAACTTGCTTCATCCCTTTAGTTTTAATCTATGTTTTATATTTAAAGTGAGCTTTTTTTTTTTTTTTTTTTAAATATATCTTTATTGATTTCAGAGCGAGGAAGGGAGAGAGAGAGAAACATCAATGATGGGAGAGTCATTGATCGGCTGCCTCCTGCACAGCCCCAACTGGGGATCGAGCCTGCAACCCTGGCATGTGCCCTAGCTGGGATTCGAACCACAATCTCCTGGATCCTAGGTCAATGCTCAACCACTGAGCCATGCCTGACCAGGCTAAAGTGAGCTTTTTGAAGACAACATATAGTTGGACCTTGTTTTTTGATCCACTCTGACAATCTCTGTCTTCTAGTTAGTGTATTTGGACCATTGATATTTAAAGTGATTATTAATATTGTAGATTAATATCTCCCATATTTGTCAGTTTATTTGTTGCCCTTTTTTTTGCTCTTATTTTTGTTTTCCACTCTTTATTTGCATTTTGTAGTTATAATTGAACATTTTACATGATTTACTTCTTTTTTAGCATATCAATTATACTTTTTTTTACTTTTTTTAGCACTACCCTAGAGTTTTCAGTGTACATATACAGCTAATCCAATCCAAGTTTTCTTTCAAATAACATACCTATCCTGGGTATTGCAAGCACCTTATAATAACAGAATAATCCTAATTCTTCTCTCCTGTCCTTTGTATCACTTTCACTTATAAGCATATACACACAAACACGCGTGTGCGCACACACACGTGCACATACACGCTACATAATTGATTACATTGTTGCTATTATCTTGAACAAACCATTAGATCCATTATCATTTAGATCAATTAAAGATAGGAAAAATAAAAGTTCCTATTTTACCTTCACTTGTTCTCCAGTGTTTTTCCTCTTTATATAGAATCCTGTTTCTAACCTATACAATTTTCCTTCTCCCTGAAAAACTTCTTTTAACATTTGGCAAATAGGGGAATGATGTCAATAGTGTGGAATTTGGTTTGGAGTTTTTTCTAAACCACTTTAAACACATTAATGTTTTGGAATGATCAGGGGGAAAGCTTTTTCACAACTAAACAGAAAGCCTTAGTAGTATAAGAAAACTGCTGAAAATTCTTTAAAAGTACTGTCCTATATTGCAATAAAGTACTGGTTTATTGGCTTAAAAATTGCTACATATTCCATTATGTTAAAAGATCAGAGGAAGTTCTAAGTTCAGTTGAAATAGCTATAAGAATAGTTCACTTTTGTTAAAAAGAAATTGATGAAGGAAGCTACCACTAGATGATATTTTAAATTTTTGTCAACCTGATCTCCATTAGAAGTGAATATCTTCTCTCTTTCATTTCTCAAAGGAAGAAGCATGAGCTCCAGGATAGGAAGCTTGAAAGGATGGATTGGCTTATTGATACAAGTGCCAGTGGAAACTTAAACAGTACTAATATTTTTATAAGGATTCTTGTTGTTTTGTTAGGACTCAGATTTTAAAATTCCATAGATTTCGAGTGGTCTGGCTCTAACTCTGTTCTCTGCATAAGTTCAGCTATTTTTACTTTATAGAACATGGTATTATTCAGGAATGCATATACTGTGTTATAGCAGAAACACTTGTATCCCTTTCTGGGTTGATAGTGCTAATCACCTTTCTGAGAAGCAAGTGTAGTCTAATCTTTTATCCCTTTTTATTTTTTTCATTGCCCATTGTAGTGGCCAGCAGGACCATCACTGGCCCATTTGTGTGTAATAGAAGAAGGTGCTCCTTTCTCTGAGCAGATTTAGATTTGTAATTGCAGGGCTTGGGATGGAGAATTCTTGCTGGATTTTGGCGCTGCTTGCCCTTTCAGGCAGGCTCTTGTGCAGTGTATAACAGTAGTCCCCCCTTGTCTGCAGTTTCACTTTTCATGGCTTCAGTTACTCATGGTCAGCTGTGGTTTGAAAATATTAAATAGAAAATGCCAGAAATAAACAACTCATAAGTTTTAAATTATGTACCATCTGAATAGCATGATGAAATCTCATGCTGTCCCACCCACTTCGTCCTGCCCAGGACATGAATCATCCCTTTGTCCAGTGTATCCAAGCTATAATTTGCTATCTGCCTGTTAGTCACTTAGTAGCCATCTTGGTTATTCGTTGACTGTTGTGGTATCTCAATGTTTGTGTTCAAGTAACCCTTATTTTATTTAATAATGATTCCAAAGTGCAAGAGTAGGGATGCTGGCAATTTGGATATGCCAAAGAGAAGCCATAAAGTGCTTCCTTTAAGTGAAAATATAAAGATCTTGATTTAAGGAAAGAAAAAAAATAATATGCTGAGGTTGCTAAGAGTGTGGTAAGAATGAGTCTTCTATCTATGAAGTTGTAAAGGAGAAAAAATAAATTTGTGCTAGTTTTGCCGTCCCACTTCAAACTGTAAACTAACAGCCACAATGCATGATAAGTGCTTAGTTAAGATGGAAAAGGCATTAAATTTGTGAGTGGAAGACACAAACAGAGAGAGGTTACACATAACTTTTATTAAAGTATATTGTTATAATTGTTCTTTTTTATTATTATCGTTTTTTCTTAGTATGCCTAATTTAGAAATTAAACTTTATCATAGGTATGTATGTATAGGAAAAAGTATTGTGTATATATAGAGTTTGGTATTAACCTCGGTTTCGGGCATCCACTGGGGTGTTGGAATGTATCCCCTGTGGATAAGGGAAAACTGCTCTACATTGGAAATAACTACATAGTGGCCTGGTTTCCTGAACAAAAGAGACACACGCACATGCAAACACAATGCTTGTTGAACTGCTAAAGTGTGTGACTTCAGACTGTTCCTTTAGCAAATACGTTTTGATTAGTTTAAAAAAACTCATTTTTTTTCTTTATCTGTATGCCCTTTTTTGTTTAGTGTTTGAGATTATGCAAGAATTTTAAAAACACAGTTAAGACTATTTAACAGATCATTAACTTTCAAAATGTTTTTCATACAATAGACATAGAGTAGTATTTGGAGTGCATAAATGGTCCCCAACCTCTCTTTTTTTTCTTTCTCTTATCCTTTCTTTGGCTGGGGGGAGGAGGGTGGATAGATGGTAGTAGGGGAACAAGACTAAATTTAGCAATCTGATTTGTAAATTCTTTAACACTGGAAATTTCTGTTTAGTCAGTTGACACATTTGGTTCTGCCAGAGTTCTAGGCAGAATTGTAAAACATATTCAGGGTTTGTTTTTTTTCTCCCTTTCATTTCTCCTTCCTTTTGGGGAACCCTTTTTAAGTTCCAGTCTCAGTTTTCCTTGGACATTCTAAATAACCCCTCCCCACTTGGTTTATCTCTATGTCAGAATTTCCTAGAGTTCATAACTGTTCATTTATTTATTTCATTAGTTTGCTTATTTGTTTTTCCTGTGCATGTATACAACTCTGTGGTAGAATATTAATGTTATTGACTTGTATGTTATTATGAGTCTAATTTTCTTAAAGACAATGAACATTTTAATGAGAACTTGTTAACCTAAATGATCCTAATGGCACAAAATATTTTTGAGGGCGGGGAGTATTAAGTAAGGTATATGCTAAGCTTTCATATTAGGAATACCTAAACATGAATATGTAGATTTTTTTTCTTCTCATTTAACAGTCAAGAATTAGCTTTGCTTTTACAGGGTTGTTGTGTGTGTGTGTGTTTGGCACTGTTGACTTTGCTCTGCTCTAGGATTCTGCCCTTACCTGCATTGCTGAAACTAATTCACTGGTACTTCATCTGATTTCCACACTCAATCTTTTTATTTTTTTTAATATGTAAAAGGTTTTTGAGTTCTAGCCATAATGGAGTGGAGTTACTGGTACTATACTTGCTCTTTGGCTGTATATAACGAGAAAACTGGACAAAATACAGGGTGGGGTAAAAGTAGGTTTACAGTTGTTTGTATGGAAAATAAAACAATAATAAAAGTACAAGAATAAACTCTGTGTTTTGCATACTCACAACTGGAAACCCACTTTTGCCCTGTCCTTTATATGAGACAGATACTGTTTTCAGAAAATGGACATAGACTGGGCATAAGGCAGCGAAGGGCAGAGGTTCAGTGATTCCTGAAGGAAGAGAAACAGATGAAGTGACTCATCTGGTTGCCCTCGTTTTCTGCTTGAAGGCACTTTCTGATCTCTGATGCAGTCAGAGGAAAGCTAAGTAGAAGAACACAGTGGTCTTAATTGAGACAAAAATTACAGTTCGGGACGCTGAGATAGCTGGAATTAGTAGACCAGACTACTGAAACTGAGGGTTCTATTTATGCAAAAAAAAAAAAGCTCCAGAAATCTTTATGTGGTCCCCTTGAGAAAACTTTTTGAATACAAAGCTATGCAGGTGTACTTGAAACACCACAAGGACAAATAAAGAACTATTAGGAAGCTGTAATCTGAACAATTTTCAGCACTACACAATTTAGAGATGTTTGAGTTCTGAATAAGCAGAGTGAAAGGCTTTGTCAGAGACTTGGAGTGTTTGGTAGATACCCCAGAAAGCTCACACTTCAAGAGTAAAACTGAATTAGCCCTAAACAATGGCTACTCTACTGCTAACAGGTCTTAAAAGCAAGCTTAAAAGAATGAAGTTGAACAGCAAGTAATTTAACAACCTGTTGAATCAAAATTTATCACTTCATAAAGGAAGACCATAAATTCCAGAAATTCAACACTATAATATTTATAGTGCCCATAATAAATGTGTTATGTATACATATATACACAGTATATCCAATTACCAGAATGCTAACAGACACAGAAATAAAAGACATAATGTGACTAGTTGGGAAAGACTTTAAAGTATCTATTGTAAACATACGTAATGAAAACATGCACTAATGAGAGAAATTGAATGTATAATGAAGAGCCACTGAACTTTTAGGGGAAAAGTCTGAAATGAAAACTGTATTGTTGCAGCTTAACCAGAGACTAGACATCAAGAAAAAGTGTTTAATCAGTTTTAACATACAGCAACATAAACTATCCAAAATGAAGCTCATGGAGTAAAAATACCAAAAATGAACTGAATAGCAGTGACCTGGATACAGTATCAAATTCTAACATATATGTAATGGGAGATCTAGATGTGAGAGGGAGGGGAGAAAGAAAAAAAAAAAAACGCATTAAGAAAAATAATGGCCACAATTTTTCCAAATTTGCTGAAAACCATAAAACCATAGAATCGAGAAACTCAATAAAACAAAAACAAATGAACTCACACCAAGGTATATTGTAGTCAAATCACTAAGTTCTAGTGATGTAGAGAAAAGTCTTAAAAGCAGTAAGGGGGAAGGGAGACATTTTATATAGGGGATCAAAGATGTAACAACAAAAATCTGCTGACTTATCATCAGAAGGTATGCAAGCCAGAAAACCATGGAATGATATATTTAATAAGTGATGAAAAGGAAAAAAAGTCAACCTAAAATTCTCTACCCAGTGAAATGATCTTTTAAAAAACAAAGGCAAAATGGCATTTCCAAATAAAAGCTGAGAAAAATTGTTCAATATATATATATACTAAAAGAAATCTTAAAAGTTGATCTTCAGGCTGAAAGGAAATGATAGAGCAAAAGCTACCCAAAGGAAAGAAGTGGTAAGAAATGGTGACTATGTAGGTCTGAAATATGTAGAAATTAGACTACTTACACATTTCCATATAACTCCTGATGAAATGAAACCAATTAGAGAATCTACAAAGTGTTTAGAACAGAATGATAATGAAAACATAGGTGGGATGCAGCTACAAGATTACTAAAGCAGTGCTTAGATGAAAACTTATGGTTATAAATGCTTGAATTAGAATAGAAGAAAGGTGTAAAGTCTCTGGTCTAAGTCTCCCAATTAAATTACAAAATCATGAGCAAATTAAACCCAATGAAATATAAAACACAAAAGCGTAGAGAAAATGAGTGAAACCACCAAAAGCTCGTTCTTTGAAAAGATTAAGTTGATAAATGTGTAGCTAGATTGATCAGGAAAAAAATTACCAAGAACAGGAATGAATGAAAAGCATAGCTATAGATGTAATAGGCATTAACAGAAAAATCAGAGAATATTAGGAGCAATTTCAGCAACTCCGATGAAATAGACTTAAGTGCTTGAAAGACAAAAATTACCAAAACTGAAACAAGAAGGAATAGAAAACTTAAAAAATACCTTATATAAATTAAATCAAATTAATCATTAAAAACCTTCTCTGATAGGAAATCCCAGTCCCAGGTGGCTTCACTGATTAATTTTCTTAAAACTCAAGTAATCTGATCCCACCCAAACTTCTTGAAAAAATAGAACACTTCTTGCCTCATTTTATGAGGCATTAGCTTAATTCCAAGCCAAAGACATAAGAAAAAAGCAGATCAATGTTTTTTTGTTTGTAGATGCAGAATATCCCTAATGAATAGCAAATAGAATAAAACAAAATATAAAAAAGATAATGCATTATGACCAAAGGGGTTTATATAGGAAGGGGAGTTGAGATTATAATGTAAAATCCTGCTATAATGGGTAAGTTCTGTATAGTAAAGTTACAATTGTATTCTATTTCTCTGACAATAAATGATCTCTTATAATAAATGTTTTTTTTGACTAAGGTATATATGAAAGACTTTCCATTATGATCACGTGTTTTTAAAAAATAAACTTTTTTAGAGCAGTTTTAGGTTTATAGCAAAACAGCAGAAAATAGTTTCCACATATCTCCTGTACCTACACAAATGTAACTTCCCCACTATCAACACACTGCACCAGAGTAGTACATTTGTTATAATCTAGGAACTACATTGACAAATCTTTGTCAGTTTACATTAGGATTCACTCTTGGTCTTGTGCATTCTATGGGTTTTGACAATACGTTCAGTTTTTAGACAAGCTTCTCATAGTTTGTTTTGCCACAAAGTAGTTACTGCCCTTCAGTTATATCTTTAATCTCTGTTATATTTTTCCTTTAATTGGAATGGTTGGAGTATTTTCATAAAGTAATTTATTTGTAATCTTACAAAATGTGGATTGGAGCAGCACACTTCCAAAATATAGAGGAGCTAGGATTCAACCCTTATTTTCAAATATGCATGAAAGAAAGGCCTGTGAATGCTGGGAGTCAGGTTTTTAACAAGGTGTTTATTTTAATAAATGTCAAAATCTGTATATTTGGTAATGCTTTTTTTTTAAATGCAGCAGAGCTGCATTCATTAATGCAGCACTCATTAATTTTTGACAATTTCTTTAAATTGATTTAAAGTATTTAGCTAATGCTGATTTCTGTTTTAGCACATGAAACTTACATAGAGTACAACTGAGTAGTGACTAAGGTTTGTTACATGGACATAGATCTAACACAGTTCAAATGACTTGTCTGATATGTGACATCTGGTTGCATAGAAAAGCCTCATGCAACAGTTTTTACATGGTGTTAGTATTGTTATTCTTGTTTCCTTTTCTTTGCTGGCCCACTCCTCTTTCAGCCCTCCTGCATTAATAAAGTATTAAGTAGCAAAGGAGATTTTCCTACTGCTGAATAAGTGACATTGAATAGAAACAGGTGTTTGTGGAATAGAAAGATAAGAAAATTGAATCTTTTTCTTTGATAAGAAGTTGATATGCCATTCTCGGTTCATGTAATTGATGTTTTGGAAAGGAAATTGGGATTGTGTGACAGGAGTCAAGGAAGTTATTAAGCAGCTTCTGTGAAAACTTGATCGCCTTTGTGCTTTGACTAACAATGTATGTGTTGTTCACAGTAACTGTAGTACTGAATGGAAGTGGCTTGTAGACAGAGCAAGAGTTGGCAGCCGATGGACATGGCTTCAAGCCCAGATTTCAGAGCTAGAATACAAAATCCAACAACTAACGGATATTCACAGGCAGATTCGTGCCTCCAAGGTATTTTCTGTGTTCCATTTTCTTTTAAAATATTACTGTTTTGGTTTCTCCTCATCTCTCCAGACAAAATAATTGTTCTAGGTTTTATAAAAATGAGGTTAATGTTAAGATTTTTGATGTATTAATTGCTGTAAATTGAAGCGATCTTTGTAATGCCTTTATTTATTGTGCTCGTTTCATCATACTTAAGCAATTCAGAACTTTGTTGGATTCCAGTTAATAGAAATGACATGCATTTTTTGTAAACCTCTGCTTTGTTGGCATTTATTTTATCATCTGTAAGAAATACTGAGTATGTACAGTATCTTACTGAAGTCTCCTTAGAGATTTTTGTTTTATAAAAATTTATAAAACATAAAAAGTTGTAGAAAGCAATATGATGAATGCCTGTGTACCCACCCCCAAATTTATCAAATACTATATTTTTGTTAGTATGGGTTTAGTTTCTAGAATAATAAAGCATTACCTGTACTATTGAAGTATGGTACTTGAATAGTCCTATCTGATCCCATGCCACTGTAACCAGTATTCTGATTTCAACATTTTTTTATATTTATTATTTTTATGTACTTTTTATTCTATTAAATTTATTAGAGTGACATTGGTTTATAAAATTGTATAGTCTTCAGTATGTATGTTTTTGGCGGGTTTTTTGTGTGTGTGTGTGTGTTTTTTTTCCAGAGAGAGTGGAAGGGGTAGAGAGATGGAAAAAAAATCGATGTGAAAGAGACACATAGATTGGTTGCCTCCCGCAGGTGCCTTGGCCAGATTGAACCTGGGACCCTTCAGTCCGAGGGCCGACGCTCTAATCACTGAGCCAGACCGGCCAGGGCTCAGTATGTATGTTTTTATGCTGTTGGGAGATAAGTGTCTATGTCTGTCTACAAATAATATTTATTTTCTATGCTTATAAAGTCAGTATAAACGATACTACAAACTATTTTGCAACTTGCTTGTTTTTGCTTAGCATACTGTTTTTGTATTTTTATACTTCCTGTATGTTATTTAATTGTATGAATGGAATAGAATTGTATGAATACAATGGAATGCTTCTCTCTTCCCTTATTTTCTTTTGATAGTGTTTCCAATTTTACTCCAGTAAAAATAATACTGCAATAACTATCTTTTATGTTTTTTGTGAGCCTGTGGAGAACTTCTCTTGGCTGCATGTCTAAAAGTGGAAGTGCTGGGTCTTGGGCATGGCTGTCTTCGCTTTCTTATACTCATTGATGTGACTGGATAATCAGTATTCCCACTGGCAGCATATAAGAGCTCCTGTTTCTCCACATTCTTGCCAACATTTTATATTTTTTGACCTCTTGATTTTTCCAGTATAATGAGTGTGAAATATTATTTTATTGCTGTTTTAATTTGTTACTGAATGTTGTGAGATTGGGCCTCAGTGTAATTAATTGTCCAATTTTTCTTTTGTCTAAGAGTTCTTTTTTACTTTTTTTGGGAGGTGTTGGTAGTATGTGTTTGTGAATTTGGATACTGTTTTTGGTCATTTGTAAATATTACAAGTCTCTCATGTTGTAGGGTTTACAGTCTACTGGGAGTACAAATTAAGCAAATGATTACACGTATAAATGCTGTTTTCATTCCAGCCAGGGGAAATTTAACATGGGATTTCCCTATCTTAAAGACATATTGTTTCCCAAAATTATAGGCTGTTTGCTTGGAACTTGTAGCATATTTTCCCATAGAAGCAATAACATAAAGAGTTCTGCAATTCCATAAAGTTGAATTTAATCTAAATATTGCTAAATATCTCTTTATAATTTTGTTTTTGTGGGAAATTGTAATCTACGTGGTGAAAATGTGGAGATAATATTGTAATTGAGATAATATTTTAAGCTTAATGGTGAATCGCCTGAAAACAAAGAGCTGTGAAAGAAAGGATTTCTGGAACCATGTGATTAGCCCAACCCCACCAAGGGTCTGCATATAAATAAAGATTAAGAAGTTTTAGGTTCCATCTATCATGAGTTTATATTCTGGTGGGAGAGAGAGACCATGTAGATAGTTAGTTGCAGTATAATGTAATATGTGCAGTGATACATGTTTTAATAACACATAGAAGTGGCATAGAGAGAATACTTAACTCTAGGGGTTAGCAGGTCAGAGAAGACGCTGATGCCTCAGTGTGAGTTTGGGGGATAAATGGTACTTTGCTTGATGAATCAATGGAACTAGAAAATAGAAAAGGGCATTTCCTAAAGGTTTGAAGGCAAAAAATGATGTGATCTTTTCTAGGAATAACAAAGTATTTTAGTATGGTAATCAAAGTATGAGTTGTGCAAAGACAGGAGAGGAAGGTAGAAAGTATTGAATATTGTTTAATGCATTGTAGAATTTGGTGGTGATGTCTGTAGGAAGGTGGTTGGAAGGACAGAAATAAAACCTTAGGCTTACTGGTTCTGTCTGTTGGGTTTGAGGGAACTATTTTCAAGAATAGTTTCCTGGTGATGTTTCCTATTCAATTACTCTAGTGACTGTTTCTCATTTTAACCCTGTCTTCACCAGGGCCTTCAGCTGTAGTGACTTCCCAGCCCCTGTCAGGATCACCAAATAATATCTCTTCTTTGATCACTTTAAAGGATATATCTCAAGCATTTTTATAGCAAGAAGAGTTCTAAGTGCGAGTTAGCTTTAAAACAATTTGCAAATTTCCCAGAAAATGGGTTCCCAATTAAATTAATGACTAAGTCTTATGTTTGAATCTAGACAGTCTAGTTCATATTGTTTTGACTTAGAAAAATATATCTTAATATTCTGTCTGTTCTAAGAAGTTCTATATAATTGTTAAATATTTTTAAAAGTTTGCTTATATGTTTATATCTATTAAATAAATTATTTTAAGGAAAGAAATCTAAACTTCCCAGTAATAAGTTATATGGCCTTACATTTGTCTTGGTTTAGGCTAGATGTTTATCTGGCCCTTTGTTCCCTTAAGAATCACATTATATTTGTTTTATGAAAACATCATTAAAATTATGCTATCAAAATATAATATTTCTTTATTTTGGTAGTTTCTCCTTCAATTTCTTAAGAAGTAATATGTTTAATTGCTTATTTATCTGCAGTTTGGTTGAGCTGTTAGTATACTGAATAGGAAAACAAGCACTTTCTTTGCTCTTTATAGCTTCTTGGGTTATTGTAAGAAAAAAACATTGAGAAGAGTGGTTATCTTGAGTGAGAGAACTTTCTGTTTAATGTATCTTGAAAGGAAAGAAAAACAAATCCTTCTAGGTTAAATTAGAGATAAGGGGAAAGGAAAGAGATTGAGATATAAATATCCTGTTTAAGTAAGTGCCAGTTTGTGACTGGTCAGTAAACACACAGAGTAGATCCACTAGATCTACAAATTTAGGTGTTTAAGTTGTCGTTTGCCCTTTCTTTGACATACTCCAGGTGGCCTAAATTTTTCTTAAATTTTTAGAGAGGAGAAGAAAGCTGGTATTAACATCTCTTCTTTGTTCTTGCAACAGTTTTGTAACACATTACAACTTTCATATTTCTTCTTTTCTCTACTTCAGCTTTTCAGTAAGACAATAGCTTCTTTTCCTTCTTTGGAAAAAATTTAAAATAGTTATTCTTGGTTGAGAAGCTGGCCATGATCTCTCTCTTAGATTTTTTGTTGTTGTTATCTGTAATAGGGCCTTCCACATTTTAAATTGTATATTTCTTGTGTTTTAAATTTTCATTTAAGTTTTTTTGCTAAAAATTAGCCTTGGTGACTTTATATAAATAATAAAGGTGTTGCTGAGGCAATCATTTATTTTTTCACACTGTGTCTTCTCTCTGAGGACGCTGGACATTGGACAGGGATCTCTCTGGTGTTGTTATCAGAAACAGTTGTCTTCTCTGGAGCAGTCAATTTGCTTTCATCTCATGCTAGTTTTCACTTGTCTCAGTTATCTCAATTCATTATTCTAAAGAATTGTGATATTGTTATTTGCCTTGTTTTATCTATCATTAATCTATTCCTAATTTTTAAAAAAAATTCAGTTTCATTGTGGTACAGTTGACAAAATTATATTTAAAGTGTACATCATGATGACTCAGCACAAATACGTTCCTTTCTGTTGTTAAGAACAGAGCTGTCTCTGCAGTGTCCCTAAAGGATTCATTCCTCTTCCCTTCCTTCTCTGTTCTGGGCCATGCCAGAGAAAAATCATGGCCCATTCTTCTCACAGAGAGTTTTGTCCAGGGCAACAATTTAAGGGGAAAAAATAGATTATGAAGTTGGCTATGAATGTCTCCCCAGTTGAATTTTAAAAGTATTATTCTTTATTGAACTAACTATGGTAGGCTCCCTACTTACAAAAAGGTATTCTAAAGGTTCATAAATTGGTTTTTGGAATTCAGAATCAACTTTTCCATAGAAACAATATTATAAGTAGGGTTTATGAAATCAGGTTAATTCACAGCAGCTTGGCTCATAATATAAACTGTAATCAAACTGGAGAGAATTATAGTTAAATTGATATGGTGAAAGCTTGTATTTCTTTTACATGAGGTACTTTTGAAAAACCTAGTAAGAGACTTTTACAAATTTTGAACAGATATTTCAGATACTTTTAAGAGTTTTCATGATTGATGATACTGTATTTATCAAGTCTAATTTAATTTTTTTAAATAAAACAGAAACTTCTTTTAAATATATTTCTTCAGATTTCTTGACAGCCATATGTGTGCATACTAGGAAAATAATCATGAGATGGGATCAAAATTTGGATCCTCTTTTCTTTGTAAAGTTATCAGCATTCTCAATTATAGGTTAAAAGAATAATTTGTGCCCAGCTGGGTGTGGCTCAGCGATTGAGCATCGACATATGATCCAGGAGATAGAGATTTGAGCCTGGGTTCTGGGCTTGATCCCCAGTCGAGGGCATGCAGGAGGCAGCTGATCAATGACTCTCTCATCATTGATGTTTCTCTCTCTCTTTCCCTCTCCTTTCCTCTCTCTGAAATCAATAAAGATATTTTTTAAAAAAGCAAACTTATTTAAAAAAAGAGAATTTGTTACTTTTACTAAGCATCAAGGTAATATATTACTACAAAATAATAAAATGTGTGTTTAATAGTATAGCAGACTATGTTCATTGTAAAATTTTATATTCTCTAAATTATAGTATAAACTAAAACTCACATAGAGCATATTATATTCTATAGACAGTTTCCATCCTTTAAATAGCACTTAATACATGATGTAAGCTGACCCACAGCAATAATTTAATTTGTTCTATCTTGAAATACTGTACACTTGTATTAATGTTTTAGTCTGTTTTTCATTACAGGAATATAATATTTTAACCACATTAGGCATTTAATACCTTTCAGCTAGTCTGTAGGGGCTTACTGGCATTTTATAAAAATCTACATATATATTATGTAATAACATGTATCATTCTTTATAGAGGATAAAGGGGGTAGAAAGGGAAGGAGTTTTGCAGTGAGAACTGACTATAAAATCATTAAGATCATAACTGTGCACTCCTTTTCAGCCTTTCTCTCCTGTTTCCATTGCCTCTGAGAGACCTCAGGGTGCTAACAGTTGGAGTGAAGTAGCCAGGAAATGTGGGAGAAAGTTTAGTGAGCCATTCGGAAAAAAAGTCAGGTGTTCGGCAGGGAGTGTAGAGGAAGCTAGATCCCTGCTTATTCCTGTCATTACTTATATTTCAGAAAATACCCCATCAAATTTGAAGACTTGTGTCTTTATTATTAATTCATCTACCTTGTGAGCAAGAAGAACTTGGATTGGCCTTGAGAATACTTTTTCTCCATGGTGCAGTCCTGCCATGGTTGCTGACGGCAGCAACAGGCTTGAGGCTTGTCCCTTACAGGGCTCTGAAAGGAGTTAATATAATGTTAGATTGTTGTTTGGATGTTTATAAGTTTGGTATTTTAATTTATGAAATTGGGAGTACTCAAATATAAAACTCAAATGGAAGTACTAGGAAGTACTAGTGACCAAAATATCGTAAGATTAAATCAGGAAATATTCTAAATTTCAGTCTGAAATGTTCATATCCTGTGTATAAGCCTTTAACTTTATTCTAAATGTGTCATGCTTTTAATGCTAATAACTAAAACCAATAGAAGACAAATAACGGCATGTATATAATTTATGACAATATTTTATAAGCCTGCTGCATCAGACATACATGCTATTTTAGCTACACATGTTTTAAATCAGCCAATTTTTCAGAGTTCAACTACCAAGTGTATATTTTCTGATTTCCAAGGGGCAATAAGAAGCATGGTTTCAAGTGCGTTATAACATTAAGGTTAATTTAACAGTCAATTTTGTTTTCATTTAAAAACTCTTTAATTGCTGTTTGCCTAGGGGACAGTGATCCTAGAAGAATGTCAGCTTCCAAAAGACAATTTGAAAAAGCAAATAAAATTTGCAGACCAAGCAACTTCATTAAATATTACAGGGACTCCTCAGATTCCCCAAGAGAGCCAAGATCCTTTACCAGAACAAGATTTTGAAATGTCACCAAGTAGCCCTACACTGCTTCTTCGTAACATAGAAAAACAGGTAAGGAGAAGAGTATGATGTGTGACATGAAAATAAATGTGTGTGTCTCCTTTGGGTGTGGGATTATTAAAGTTGGCAATCTGACATTAAATACAATTAAAATAATATATGACTAGTCTCTATTATAGTATTGATGTAATTAAGGTTATTTAAATACCAGGTATAAGATAAATATAAAGTATAAATTAGTAGCCATTAGATGATAACTCATTTATACTAGGGTTGGAAAATAATTTTTCAAACAAAATTGCTTATCATTGGACTTTTTGCACAGGGAAAGAACACTGGTACCACCTAATAGATCTGAATGATTATTTGAATAATTTATTGATAGAGATTTTTAGTGAAAGGTAATATTGGAATATCGATTCTTTAATAAAAATGATCATGTAAATAGAAAGTCGAGTAAGTTCCTAATAAATTTTTACCATCCCATATATGGACTCAGGCATATGAGATTTTATTGGGCAGAAGTAGGGTGGTTGTTAGAGTAAAACGGGGGGCTGGTTGTAATGCTGTCCTCTGGGCCAATTAACAGACATACCTGACCATCGACCTCCAGTGGCTTATAGTATTTTAGATGTTTTTGAAGGTGGAAAATGAGAAGTGTCAGTGTTTTCGACTGGAAAATAGATACTCTATATACATTTCTTTGCATGAATAAACTAATGGATGCTTGATAACTGGATAAAGAATCTGTTTGTATTGGTGATTTTGAAAATGGGCTTAATCTAAAAAGTAATAATGTAAAAAATAAAGTCATTAGGTTCATAATATTTTTCAAGAAAATAAATGGTGAAAACATTTCAGGGTTTTTTTGCATAAAAATTTTTTTGAAGAATTGAAATTTTAGATTTAGTTTTATATTCTTTAGTCTCATTATTTCTAATAACATGTTACTAGTTTCATACAAATGAAGGGTTTCAAAATAATAATTTCATATCCCCTTTATTTTATAATAGAATATCTTGCAATTAACAAAATGATGAAATAGGTCTCTATATTTTTTTAAAATGTAGTCACATGATATTAAGTAAGAAAACCAGGTTTTAGAAAATTGATGTGGCATGATTAATTAAAAGGGCGTGTGTGTGCACATGTTGTATATACACTAATGCTCACATATGCTCAAAAAACTTAGTGTAGAGGTATAGATATATACCAAGATATTAGCAATGATTTTCTCTGAAATATGATTATATAGGTGATTTTCTTTTCCTTTTAAACCTCTCTGTACTTTCTATTTTCTATAATGAACACATCACATATGCAATGAAAACAGTTGTCATCCTTTTGTAGAAATGTACTATTTCCATTGATGTGGCCTGTGTTTATTATAATTGTTTTAGATGATTGTTTTTAGAATGATTTAATTATTGCATATTACAAATATATCATGTATATTTAAGTTTGGGATAAGGGGCAATGAAAATTTTGATAACTAAAAAAACGTATTTTTGAATTAGGAAAAATATTAAGAAACGGTGGGCATGAGATTAAAGCCTGAATTTGAACCATAGCTCCATTTCTTACCAACTCTACAATCCTTGGTCAAGCGGCTTCATCTTTCTTTCTTTCAATTTCCTCGTCTGTAATTGATCTTATATATAGTAATATCAGAAGTTCTAATACCTACTTTACAGGGTAGTTATAATGATTAGAAATATTCTAGTGCCTGGTATAGTGTCTGACACATAGTACACACTTAATAAGTCATAGCTGTGATTTTTGTTATTAATTTGGCTGTATCAGGAAATATTATGTAGATTCTATTATCTGACTTCAGATGTTTTAGAGGACAGGATAAGTAGATAAAGGAAATATAACAAAAGAAGAGGCGTTCTTTAAAATGTAAATTTACTTATAAGAAATGGAAATATCAGTAGTTGTCTAAATCATCTTGTAGTTTAATATACATGTACAGGGGTGGGCAAAAGTAGGTTTACAGTTTGTATAAAAAAGAATATAATAATTAATAAGTAATGATTCAAGAATTGTTTTGTATACTCATAACTGTAAACCTACTTTTGCCCACCTCTATATTTACTAAAATATAAACATTTACTTGTTTCATGAAAAGTTAAGCATTTAATCGACACTAAAGGCCTGAGATTGAACTCACATTTCTTGCTTAGCAGTTGACTGTTTTCTTGCAGAGTGCACAGTTGACTGAGATCATCAACAGTTTGATTGCCCCTCTCAACTTGTCCCCAACTTCATCACCTCTCTCCTCCAAATCTTGTAGCCATAAATGTCTGGCCAATGGCATTTCCAGGAGGTAGGTAACAATGGAATGGTTTTGCTTCTAAATTTGGCTTCTCTTACTTTATTTTGTTTTTATCTTTTAAGTATTACAGCTGCTTTTTTTCTTAAGTACTATTAAAGTACAATCAATAGACCACGGATACATTTGTAGACAACATCAAACATACATAATTAAGGTAACTATAAACCTGAGAATGAGGGACACAACTTTCCAGAAAGTTTTATAATGTTTGTAAGAAAAGAAAAATGGTGATATTATTTGCTACAGATTACTGCTTTAATACATTTCCATTTTGTACATTTTATATATATTCTTAAGCTCCATACTGACCTTGTATGGATTTTAAGAAAAAAAGACCCTAGATATAGTTTGGGCACAAAAGATTGATAAGCATCATTCATAAAATTCAGTTAAGTTTTTTACTCAGCCATTTTGTGTCTCAATATTATAAGGTAAATTTTTTCTGGATGTAATTAATGTAATACCTATAATCATTAGCAATTTATTATGTTATATGTCCTATGTTACACACTATGAATCCTAATCCATTTGGGGACCAGCATTTGTTCCCTTTTATTTTGCTTGCTTTTCTCTTTTAGTTTTTCCTTTCAAAGATGCAATTAGAATTAAAGATGATGTTAATATATAATTTTGTGGGTGCACCTAATTTTTCCCAGTAAGATTGTAATATGGGCATCTTTGCTTTAACTATAGAGGATTAAGTGTAATTTAGTATTGGGAGATATTCATATTAATAATTGTATGATTTAGTACTTAAAATTTTAATACAGTTTGAAAGGAAAATTTATACCATGGTGAAAATTATGCTAAATAGCCATCATATTCTTAAGGAGGTTGGTGGATGTAAACCGTCTTAAAATAAAAATGCTGTTATTTGATTTTTAGTTCTAACTTGTTATTGTGAAAGTCTAATTTTTAATATTTTTACAGTTTTGTTTATGCTAGGTCATTTATCCATTGTTCTGTTAAGGAAACAGTTTCTTAATTGGTTTTGCTTTACTTATTTATTTTACTTTATATTCATTCCTTGTATCACTGATGATTCACTTTGAAAGTAAAGATCCTTACATGTTATATAGGAAAACTATGATAGATTTATTTGTGAGAACATATCCTAATTAAGAAATCACAGTTACAGGTTGAGCCATTTAACACCATCAAACTGATGTATGTGCATTGTGATTTGGGGCTACCCGCTTTAGGTAATATTTTGTTTACCTAACTAGTTATTATACACATACTCAGGTATGTGTGTGAGTGTGTGTACATATTTTCATTTTAAGGTACTTGTCTGTAAATCTGGTCATTCATTCACAAAGTATTTATTGCATACGTATTTGCTGTATGCCATATAGTCAAAGTCCTGGGAATACAAAGTCAGCACTTTTAAATAACTTGTAGTCTAGCAGGTGAACCGTGTAATTATTAAAATATTATATAATCATAATGGAATTATGTGCACTTGTTTGACTATTTGATTTTTAGTAGCTGTCATAGTTGAAAAAGGTAACAAATAAAGGAACGTATGCCCAAAGGAAAGAAATGTAACATTGGCTGTGTTTAATAAATCACACTGTTTCAATCCTGTCTAAAAGGTTCTTGTTGAAACCAGCTAGTAATGCCATCTTTCCTGATGTCAAGTAGTTATTCTTACAAAGTATTTGGAAGGTTTATTTCTGAAAGTTTGTAACAAATTCTTTGATAGCTTTAAAAGTTGATAAAAATTTGTTCTCTACCTCTTTGAAGTATGCTGTATGTGTTTTAATTAATCTTATTAATTTTACTAACTTAATTTATTTTTGGCAACAATCAACATTTTTTTCAAAATACTTCCTATATAACAAATTTCTTTCAAAAAGCATTTATTTTCACAATTTTTATCAAAATATTATATTTCCCTTCAAAGAAAGATTGTTTTATTCTCTAACATTAGCTAGAAAATATAATACAGGTACTTTTCATCAAAGAGAAGAGGAGCAAATGTTAAATGTTTTGTTTCCAGATAACCAGCAAACTGCTGTGTGAAGCAAAAGATTAGGGAGATACTCATTAACATTTTTGTAAAAGTTCTATTTATGACAATATATGCCGTAAAATATATACCATAAAACCAAATCTATTTAACAAGGAACATACAAACTGGAATATATTGCAGATAAGAGAGTAATTAACTCTGAAAAGTAGAAAATTTTGAGAATATGTGGAGATTGTGTTGGATGCCAAAGAGAGGTCCTGAGCATGTATCTTGGTCTTGTCAGTTATAAATTGAGACCTCAGCAGGAGCAGTGTAGTGGCACAGTGGAGAGAGCCGAGCTGGTTAGTGAGGATGGAGAGGGACTGAAGCAGAGAAGGAATCAAGGCGCTTACACTTTCAAGGCTGCTTGACTGTAAGGCTCTGTAGCAAAGTGCATGCACAACGTCAAGGAAGGTCTTTTTGTTTTAACGATGGAAGAAATGTAAGTGACTTTATTAAAATAAAGGGAAGGGATAGAGCTAGAGATGGGGCATGTAAAACTACATATCACAAAGTTATGATGGAGGGACCTTATGACAGGAGAAAATATTTGTTCTTGTGAGTGGTGTGAAGAGATTAAGGTGGGTATGGATGCAGTTGTTTATAAAGTGATCGTGGCCAAGTTAAGAGTGGGAAATGGAGTTAGGTAAAGATTTGGATAAACATTAACAAGTAAAACTGCTCCTACTCTTTGTCCGCACCCCCCTCCTTTTATTGTAGCATGAGCAGCCCATCCCTTGAGAAGGATGTTACGTGGTTTCTAAAGGCTTTTTAAAAAAACCCTTAACAATATTGTAAAAAGTACTTAATTGATATTGGTAAAACTAGTTAAGAATTTAAAAGTACTGTATTCTCTAATTCAACTTTTTATAAAATAAATGCACGGTAGTGATATTCTACAAATTTAACAGATTATTTTACATTATTCACATTTGAGGATATTACTATAGATTTGAAAATTAATTGAAGATACAGTCATATAATATAGTAACTTATGGAAAAGCTTTATTTAAAAGTATCTGTATGGAAGCAATGTGTAATTTTTATATTTATGAGCCTTTTGACCCTGTGACTAATTGAGGCCTAGGTTTATTTCTTGTATCTTACTATTTTTCCAATATGGTGTTATTGTTTTCCTTACATACAATTATATATGAAGAAAACACCTTTCATACTCAAAGATTTTCAAGAGTAAGGGCTTAACCTATTTAATGTTATTCAGACTTGACACACAGCGCTTTCTGTAGATGTCCCTATTAAGCATATAAAAACTATTCATTTTATGTATTTAAGTAAATGTGAAGGTAAGAAAATTCATCATTTGAATAAGAATTTTAAAACTTCTGGTAAAATGTACATAACATAAAATTTACCATTGTAACCGTTTTTAAGTTTAGTGGCATTAATTACGTTCACATTGTCGCATAGCAGTTGCCGTCATTCATCTCCAGAAATTTTTCATCTTCCTAAACTGAAATGCCCATTAAACAATAACTTCGCATTCTTCCTTCTTTCCAGTCCTTGGCAACCACCATTCTACTTTGTGTCTATGAATCTGACTACTCTAGGTACCTCATGTAAGTGAAATCACACAGTATTTGTCCTTTTGTGACTGGCTTATTTCACTTAGCATAATGTTGTCAAGGTTAATGCATATTATACCATGTGCCAAACATTTCCTTCCTTTTTGAGGTTAACTAATAGTCTGTTTTATGTTTAGACCACATTATGTTTTCCATTGATCCTTGCATGAACATTCAGGTTACTTCTACCTTTTGGCTATTGTGAATAATGCTGCTTGAACATGGGTGTACAAATCCCTGTATGAGTCCCTGCTTTTCATTTTTTGGATATATACCCAGAAATGGAATTGCTGGATTGTATAAGAATATTTTATTGTTTATTTTGAAAGAGAAATGAATGAATGTTGTTAATGATATTTCTAAGCCACAAGCCAAGGAAAACAAGCACCCAGAAAACTAAGAAAAGCATAGCAATCTCATTTTGTCTGAGGCCAAATTCTGACAAAATTTAGTTGAGGTTTTGATAGCTTTGTGGGGAAAGAGAAGGGAGAAATCAAAGCTAAATCCAGAAAAATCAAATGAAGCTTTAATAGTTTGTGGGATGAGAGAAAGAGAAAGCCATGGCCTTGCCCTATGGTAAGGAGATTAAATGAAATCGTCTTCATATTTAGCTAGGACCACCCTCCTCCAGGAGCTACACCCTTATAGTAAATGTAATCAAAAGGTAATCTGCTCTTCCCCCCCCCACCCCCACCCCTTGAGTGCTATTTGGGAGATTCGCCTTGGTGCTGAGCAGAGCAGAAGATAAAAGAAAAAAAGTAAATCTGTCTTTGAGATGGTCTCACCATAGTAGGGACTTTCACATGGAGTTTTCAGCCCAAATTTGCATCAATGAGTCAGCCAAAGAATCCCTACTTTAAAATGGTTCGGGAATGGTTAATACTACAAGATAGATGGCAGAGGCAAATGCAGATTCTCTCTGGAGGAAGGCACCTTCTTAGCCACTGGAAATTATCAGAATTAATTTTTCAAAGTCAATGATCAGCACACAATCAAATATAATCAAACGTGTGAGGAGACAGAGACATAAGAGTAAGAATAAAGAGGAAATTAACAGGAAAAACATTATAAAGTTTTCAGATATTAGAATTATCAAACACTGATTATTTAAAAAACAGTGCTTGTTCTGATTTTAGAAATAAAAGATAGGCTTGAAAATATCTGCAGAAAAGAAACTATATAAGTGACATAGCACATTTGAGGAAAGTCCAAATAAAACTTCTAAAAAATTTTAAATTAAAAACTAAGTAAGTGAGTTTGTCAGCAATATGGACATGTTGAAGAGAGAATGTGTAATGAAGATAGAAGAAAAATTCCAGAATGTAGAAAAAGAGACAAAACAATGGAAAATACAAGAGTCATTTAAAAATGTGGTGACCACATTTAGCAGGTCT